GACGCGCAAATAAATCACACTATTTGTCTATTAAATAGACGAGTGACCATGGAGTTTACTCGCTTCATTCGCACGTCAATATATCATATAATATCGTTATATTACGTATCACACAGCAGAATGAACCATCAACTATTCCAGCATATGTTTTACACAGCGGATGCCCTGCGGAAACACCCATACACACTCATTCACACACACACACACACACACACACACACACACACACACACAGACACACACTACAGCCAGTGTAGTTGATCAGTTCCCCTATAGCGCATGTGTTTGGACTGTGGGGGAACCGGAGCACCCGGAGGAAACCCACACCAACACGGGGAGAACATGCAAACTCCACACAGAAACACCAACTGACCCAGCCGAGACTCAAACCAGTGACCTTCATGCTGTGAGGCCGCAGTACTGACCACTGAGCCAGTGTACCGTGTCTTTAATGACCTGAAATGCTCTTTCTGTTGGGCTCAGCCATGTCAAGTGTTTACATTGTTCAGACCCAAACGAAAGACAACAGGCCTCTGGAGGATCTCTGTGAATAATTCATAATTCATGCAGTGGAGCTGTTTTAGATCATTCATACATACAAGTGTGTGTGTGTGTGTGTGTGTGTGTGTGTTATTTGCAGGCAACAGTGCAGCTTTGTGTCTTCAACAGTGAAAATCCCACCAGTCAGTAAATTACATTCGCTTGAATGTGAGACGCTGCCCTCTTACTGACATATAATGCATCTGTGTGTGTGTGTGTGTGTGTGTGTGTGTGTGTGTGTGTGTGTGTGTGTGTGTGTGTGTGTGTGTGTGTGTGTGTGTGTGTGTGTGTGTGTGTGTGTGTGTGTGTGTGTGTGAGTGTGTGAGTGTGTGAGAGAGAGTGAATGCTAAAAGCTGAATGCATGACACCCTCAGGACTGCATCTTCACGAGAACTCCACATGATGAGAGAGAGAGAAAAAAAATGGAGGATGGAAAAGCAGAGTGATGCATGATGGGAGTTCACTAGAGCGAGTCTGACCTGGGGTGCATTTCCGAAAACCATCATTAGCCACATAAGGTCGCAAGTTCTGTCTTTACAAACATTGTTAGTTGTTTGGTGTTTCCCAAATCCATAGTTCCAACCGTTAGGGCTGGGGGATTCAACCTAAAATCAAAATCTCGATTAATTTAACATTTTAACTCAATTACAATTAATGGGGGATTTATTTATTTATTTATTTATTTATTTATTTATTTATTTATTTATTTATTTATTTATTTATTTATTTATTTATTCATTTATTTGTTTATTTGTTCATTTATTTGTTTATTTATTCATTTATTTATTTATTTATTTATTCATTTATTTGTTTATTTGTTCATTTATTCATTTATTTATTTATTTATTTATTTATTTATTTATTTATTTATTTGTTTATTTATTCATTTATTTATTTCATTAATTTTATTTGTATTTTTTTAACTTAACAGTTCACTGACAGGATTTGTATAGAGCCGATCTAGGACCATATATATACTTGCAAAATTAAATAAAGTTAACAAAAAATAAAGTATTGAGCAAAAAAACAAATAAACATGCAAATCCCCAAAAATCGCAAAACGAAAATAAATGTTTTTAGTAATAAAATTAATTTTGCTAACAAAAATAAAGTAACTTTAAATAAAAAATAAGCAGTGCAAAAAAAAAAAATATATATATATATACACATTATTATACATATACATTTTTGTAGTATTGCCTTTACAAAACCTGTCCAGTCGATTGCAAATACTGATTTTGATTTGCATTTTAGTCAACCGTGCAAATCAAACGCATCGCTGTGTGAACTGTTCGCTCCAGTCTCAAAAAAATTTGTGTGATCCACCAGCCAAAATCATGTCGCCTGCACCCAAAGTGAACCTCCACAAACACAGCTATGATGACGCATTCGCCTCGCGCACTTAAGCAAACTTGCGGACACGTTGAGTATAAACCAGGCTTTACAGCCCAGCAGGTTTCCTCCCCTTGTCTGGCTGATCCGTGACTAAAACACTATAATGTGATCCAAACCGTGTGCTTGGTGATCCGCTACAGCACTACTGCTATTATGATGATGACGGTTTTTTCTTTTTTTAAATATCATTATCTGTGTGCCATTTTGAGCTGAAACTTCACACTCACACACACCCGAGACTTATTTTAGATCTTGTCAAATTGGCGTAGTATGACTACAGTATGGGGTGGATGCATGATAAAGGACATTAGATGAGTTAAAAAGCATCAGTAGTGCAAGTTAAATGCATATATTCAGGAACAGGTCTGGTGTAGCAGCATATGAAGAAGCTTTTCCCTTCTGCGGGCCGTGTGCAGTGAGCACTTCCTGCAGTTTGTGTCCTAGTTGTTCTAAAAATACAGCCGAACCCTCAATTAAAGATTCCCCTCAGCCTGCTCCACGCTTACTGTCTGGCTGGAGATCTCTGAGATGGAGGAGTAGTAAAGGGTCGGTCCACACATGGATGATCATTCTGTGATTGTTTCAGACCGTTTTGACTAGTGGATGGTTACAGGTTTTTTAAGCCTTCTTCAAAATATCTTCTTTTGTCTTCAACAGAATAAATAGACAGTGTGGAAGCACAGGGGGGAGAGTGAATAGAGTGAATGTGACTGTTTAAAGCGTGCTGCTTTTGACGTGTCTTTGAGGAATGTTTTGAATGTAATGGTGTTTAGTGTTGAAGCACTGCATCATCTGGTTTGTGGAGATATTAAGCGGCTATGGTAACTCGTTATTTACTCTTCAGTGTAGTGTGAATGAGGATTGTTATTCAGCTGTACAGATCTTCATGTCAGAGCTGGTCATTTTGGTCAATTCCCGCTTATAGCATGTTTCATCATCAGCGCTGTGTGTGTGTGTGTGTGTGTGTGTGTGACATTATCCTCTCTGCATCGAGTCATTAATGACCTCAAGCATTATTCTGTGCTTACTAACATTCATTATTTCCTCATCTTCCTCATCTTCTTCTTCTTCTTCATCTTGTTTGTCTTCATCTATGTCTTCATCATCTTCTTAGTCTTTCTCATCATCGTCTTCTTTGTCTTCATCTTCTTCGTCTTCTTCATCATCTTCTTAGTCTTTCTCATCTTCATCTTCATCTTCACTTCATTTTCTTAGTCTTCTTCATCATCGTCTTAGTCTTTCTCATTGTCTTCATCCTCATCTTCGTCTTCATCTTCTTTGTCTTTGACTTCCTCATCATCATTTTCATCATCTTTATCTTCCTCATCATCTTCCTCATCTTCGTCTTTCATTCTCATCTTTATCGCCTTCATCTTCTTCTTCATCATCTTATTTATCTTCTTTGTCTTTCTCATCTTCATCTTCTTCATCTTCTTTTTCTTTTTCCTCATTGTTTTATTAGTATTTGCCTTCTTCTTCCTCATCTTGATTTTCTTCTTTGTCTTATTCTTCATCCTCCTCTTCTTCATCTTCATCGTCTTCATTTCTTTGTCGTCTTCTTCTTCATCATCTTCCTCCTCATCATCATCTCCATCTATTTCCCTGTCATTGTCTGTGTATAACGCTTCACAGTACTGCTTTAGTCTTGATATCTCGTATGCTGTTGTAATATCTGTAAGCATGGTGAAGTACAGTTTTTTTGCCTGTAGTGTAAAACCAATTAAGAAAATGGGTTTGTCCTAAAAACGGCTCTCCTTGGAGGTTGATTTTATTTCCGTCATCTTTTTTTTTCTTCTTCTTTGTGAGGGCACTGATGTACTGAAACGATCTGATTCTGAAACGCAGCTAACTCAGAAACAGCAGACCTTATTATCCATTTAACACTACAGTGAACACGCCGTGTGAGCTGACTCCAGTGCAGTGTAGCGTGATCTTGATTACAGCCGGCCCGATCTCACCAGGAAACGTGTTTTACGTACGAATTCGTACAAATTGGGTTGTACGGAATTGTACGATTTTAAAAGGAGGCGTGGCACCTAACCCCACCCCTAACCCCAGCCATCATTGGGTGATGAGCAAATCGTACTAAACTGTAGGAATTAAATCGTACGAATTCATACAAATTAACCGCTAAATCAGAAAGTTAGGAATTGCAGTGAGATTGCGTTGTTACAGCACATATCTGAATACTCGTCTGGACAGAATAAGCAGTTGAGGATGTAGAGGATGGCATTTTCACATCTCTGTTTATCTCCACAGCAGAAGTCCTCATAGTTCTGTACCACAAATACATATTGAGTATTCCTGTTTGCTCAAGTTTGAAAAGAAAAACTTCCTCGTAGTGTTTATATATGAATAATTAAACAATTATGGACGTCATGGTGGCTCAGTGGTCAGATCTGTTTCCTCGCAGCAAGAAGGTCTCTGATTTGAGTCTCGGCTGGGTCAGTTGGTGTTTCTGTGTGGAGTTTGCATGTTCTCCCCGTGTTGGCGTGGGTTTCCTCTGGTTTCCCCCACAGTCCAAACACATGGTGGAACTGATCAACTAAATTGGACATAGTGTATGAGTGTGTATGGGTGTTTACCAGTACTGGGTTGCAGCTGGAAGGGCATCCGCTGTGTAAAACATGCTGGAATAGTTGGCGGTTCATTCCGCTGTGGCGACCCCTGATTAATAAAGGGACTGAGCCGCAAAGAAAATGAATGACTGAACTAATGACACCTTACTGTAGAGTGTGACCGATGCGTTCTCACATTGTGGAACTGAAAATGCTTCTTCAACAAAAGCAGTGGACGTATATTGTATATTGTTCAAGCAAAAGTGGTTGAGTCGGACTTCATTTGTTTTGCGAGGGCTCAGACTTTGCCTTGTGATGTAACCCGTCCCTGTAAACAGCAGCTAATACCATTGAGTGCAGAGATGGAGGAGCGCTGATTGTGATTAAACCGTCCCCGAGTGATTGAATTCAGCTTTTTGTCACAAGCGGCTCATAATCCAGGTTAAACCTGTTTCATCACATTAGGAATGCTCCAGTAATCAGTGTTTCTCTTTCTGTTTCTCTCAGGATTCTCTTGCAAATGCAATGTGGAGAGTATAAGGACCCTGCTGGACTTTAAATAAAGGTGAGCATCAACAGAATTAAATGGCCAACAGTCACACATCGAGATGGAATGCTTGTCTTTTGTTTACAGTAAGAATACCTGATGAACATTCAACCTGAAATAAGGGTTTTCACTTGTTGCTGTTGCTCTTATTAAATACTTTGCTCACAGTAAACACTTTTTTCGGTCATGTATAACTGTTTTTATTATTTGGCGAAATGCTACTGAAGGTAAATTTGCTTTTGTCAAAGATAAATGACACAGACACACAAGAAATACTAATATAATATAACCGCACAGACAGAAATAATGGCTTGTTCCTTTATGACATATGTTGGCTGATACGAGTGTACTAAAGTGTGCCGCATGCCTGCTTTTGAGTGATGCTCCCGGCTGTTAGATCGCCCCCTGGGGGCTGGCTGCAGTACAAGTCATAAAGTCTGCCGCCTCCGTGTTAATGAACGAGACTTGAGCCCAAATAAAAAAATTAATTACACAGTCTCGAAAGATGGTTTTGGTCAGTTAAGGCACTGGTTATCCTGCTGATATAGGTGCAGATCTTCAGTTTGTAAATGCAATACATTTTCATCTGTATTTTTACAAATTTAAAGGCTTTAATAACCAATCAAACAAGCACTCTTTCACTCTATTAAGGTGAAGCGTCACAATCACTCAACAGTATGGTTCAGCTATAATTCCACTCCAGTTTCCTGAAGCTAAACTGATGCTGAACTTGTCATTGCAGATCCTGTGATGTGACTATTGCCAGTGATCGCATATATCAGTGATATTGATGCTGAAATAATATATTGTGCAGCCCTAAAAACACCTTTAGAATGGGAAATATTGTTATCATGTCATCACTTGTACATGGGATAGCGTGTAGGCTGACTCACGTCTGGAGTGCAATACCTAGTTCCACCACTGGGTGTTAATCTTAAATACTGCGCCTTTAAGAACATCCTCAACAGCGCTCAAATATTTGTGGATAATGTATGTTTTTAAAAGCCTAGCAGTAAAGCGTTGAGTCATAAACGATGCGTAGCGCAAGATTCGTGATTGGTGAGCCTGATAGTGCTGACGACTGTAGGCGGGGCTCATCGGAGCTCCAGATGGAGACTGTTGTTTTACGTTTACCTTATGATTACAGGTGTTGCACGTCTGCCGGTTCCCACCTCTGAATGAGCGAGTTTGAGGTGGACATTAAGGTGGCGTTCAGAAAAAACAAAACACTAGCAAAGAAACTCGGCACAGAGGAACATGAACACCTGCTACCAGTTAGTGTTTCGGAAGTGTTATTGCAGAGCAACACAAACAGCAGCAGAAGAAAAAATGGACAACTATGCAGGCGCTGTGGGTCATGGCGATCACTCGACACAGAATTATAAACCAGCCTTAATAGTGAAGCTGCTTACTACTGTCCTTTGCTCCCTGTTTCTCTCTCTCTCTCTTTCTTGTGTAAGAAGAGAAACTCTCTGGTCAGCGTTTTAAGCTGAGGGCCTGCTGTGTAGCTGCACATCAAAGATGTATGCAGTGAGCATCTCAGCGGGCCGGACACTCCTACTGCATAGTAAAGAGACGCTTGCGTTAGTCGTGCCTCTGATGAGTGTTTTCTGCTGTAATGATTCGCACAAGTCTGAAAGAGTAGTGTACAGTCTAGAGCAGTGTTTCTCAACCACATTCCCGGAGGAGAACCAACCTTTTCACACTTTCCATGTCTCCTACACCAAACACACCTGAAAAGAAAATGAATGAATGAATGAACAAATCATCCTGTTTCCAGACTTTAGACTGGTAATGTGCACTTAAACTCTCACATATGAGCTTAAAACAAAGACAGAAGTATAAAGTTTTGTTTTAACTGAAGATCTGACGGCTGCTAATGTAGGCATGTTGGTCTCTGCTGTTTGACTTCCGCTGGCTGTGTGGGTTTGACACCAGCTCCTGTGCATGCAGCACCCTGTTAACTCATACCTTCCGCCAAAGCCACCTACATGAGTGCCCACCTTAAAATATCACAGACGCTCCTGCAGCCCACACACTCTCTGAGGAACTGCACTTTAGGCTGTGTGTTTGAGTAACTAAGAGTGAAACCTGCAAGCTCTGAGCTGTGATGTCTCCAAAACTGTGCTGTCTCTAAAGTTACAGCATTAAATTATAGTTGGTGTATGTATGTATGCATGTATGTGAGGCTGCTATCGCAGAATACAGCTGACGGCTGAACACCTCTCGCACTCTAAATGAAGACCTACAAATCCCAGGCATGCATGAACTTTTAAATGAGTTTTTTTGTATGTGGGAAGAACAGTGTAGTGACATTATAGAGAGAGCCTGCATGATATAATATCTGCTTTCTTTATTATCTTTCTTTTTTTACTTTTAAGTGCTGTTTAAACATAAAGATAATTAAGATCATTGTTATTGTAAGACAAATGTAGATCACACTTTATTCTGGAGGTCTGTTTGTTGAATTTAGGTTACATTGCATCTACATACCAACTAATTCTCATTAGATTATTAGATAGAGGGCCATCTGCTGTTAAAAACTAGCCTAGAGCGCCATCTGCTGTTAAAAACTAGCCTAGAGCGCCATCTGCTGTTAAAAACTAGCCTAGAGCGCCATCTGCTGTTCAAAACTAGTCTAGAGCATCGTCTGCTGTTAAAAACTAGTCTAGAGCGCCATCTGCTGTTCAAAACTAGTCTAGAGCGCCATCTGCTGTTCAAAACTAGTCTAGAGCATCGTCTGCTGTTAAAAACTAGCCTAGAGCGCTATCTGCTGTTCAAAACTAGCCTAGAGCGCCATCTGCTGTTAAAATCTAGTCTAGAGCATCATCTGCTGTTAAAATCTAGTCTAGAGCATTGTCTGCTGTTAAAAACTAGCCTAGAGCGCCATCTGCTGTTAAAATCTAGTCTAGAGCATCATCTGCTGTTAAAAACTAGCCTAGAGCGCCATCTGCTGTTAAAAACTAGCCTAGAGCATCATCTGCTGTTAAAATCTAGTCTAGAGCATCGTCTGCTGTTAAAAACTAGCCTAGAGCGCTATCTGCTGTTCAAAACTAGTCTAGAGCGCCATCTGCTGTTAAAATCTAGTCTAGAGCATCGTCTGCTGTTAAAAACTAGCCTAGAGCGCCATCTGCTGTTAAAAACTAGCCTAGAGCGCCATCTGCTGTTAAAGACTAGCCTAGAGCGCCATCTGCTGTTAAAAACTAGCCTAGAGCGCCATCTGCTGTTAAAGACTAGCCTAGAGCGCCATCTGCTGTTAAAAACTAGCCTAGAGCGCCATCTGCTGTTAAAGACTAGCCTAGAGCGCCATCTGCTGTTAAAAACTAGCCTAGAGCACCATCTGCTGTTAAAGACTAGCCTAGAGCATCATCTGTTGTTGAAAACTAGCCTAGAGCGCCATCTGCTGTTAAAAACTAGCCTAGAGCACCATCTGCTGTTAAAGACTAGCCTAGAGCATCATCTGTTGTTGAAAACTAGCCCACTAATTATCTGCGTGCCTCTGTCATGGTTCACTAATTGTTGTACATGTATTAGTTTTGATGTAAAGTCATCTCTCTGCCATCTCTCTACTCTAATATAAAAGCAGCACCCAAATTGAATTCAAACCTCCAGAAACAGCATTATTAAGCGTGTCTAACCGCTGCACCAGCAGAGCAACTCTTGCGTTGACCTCCATCTTTCATTTGTCAGATCAGTGGTTGGTGGTGGTAAACATCAGTGAGAGTGTGTGTGCGTGATCTACTGTAGTCTCTCAGAGGCTATTTCTGTTGTTAATTGTGAATTCACCCGCTGAGCAGCTGACTTGAGCCATTCATGTGTTTGTGGGTAGTCATGCATTGTGGTCAAGTCAAAAAAAAGCTGTGGAAGAGTGAGATGTTTCAGCAGTCATCAGCGGTGTTAATGTCGCTGCACAGATCTGTTAGATAGGAACAGTGCTCTCCACTGATTTTAAAAGTAATGAAGTGATGCCCCAACACAATACTAGAAGCTAAAGTCCTTGGGAAATCAACATTTTGCTAGCGCACATTGTTATTCCTTGAGGTGAACAATTGATATGTGCAAGATACTTCACTGAAGAGAAAACGTGTGCTTCTGCAGGTCTGTGCTCCTCTGTTGACGTCAGTTTGACAGCTTTTGCCTCAAATATTCTTAGCCACGCCCCTCTTATCGTTAGGGAAGGGAATGATGCACAAAAAGAAAACCCCGCCCACTTCTCAATAATCCGTTTCTGTTGAATGCACATCACTGAAAATAAGTTTCAGCAACTGCTGGTTTGCACAGACTTTAAATGTGCAGTAAGTTTGACACCCAGTGGTTGGACTAGGTATTGCATTCCTGGTTCAAAACGCACAAGCGCAGGTTGCCAGATTGACAACACCAACAAAAACTGACATGATAGAAGGAATATTCTCCATATTAAAAGGAGTTTTTGTCCTGACCAACTGCTGAGATTAATATATTATAAACAGCTTCTGTTTCTCACAGCTGAACAACAGAAAACTGACAGTGATCAGCTCAGGTACAGCTCATGTGCTTTACTCGGTGTTAAATGCTAATAATGCGAGTTTGACATGACATTTATTGCCGTACTACTGACAGCAGCAGCAGATAGTTCAGCTCAGATCTGGAGAATTAAATAAAGCGTCTGAAACTGAACTTCAGAACTGAGACTCAGAGCAAACCAACACATATCAGTGATTCAGCATCTACATTTAATCATGTTCAAGAGCTTTAATATGTGTTCATTAGATGATAAAGCTCAGCCTTGTGCTGGAGTGCAGTGAGTGCTCTATTCTGTGCTTCTGAATGGCTGTGTTTACACTTCTGTCCTGTCTGGTGCAAACTGCTCATCACTGTGTATCTCATCATGTAGTGTGTTGTTAGGACACTGGGTTACAAGGTGACCTGCTCACCTAATGTTCACACTCGTAATATTAATATTATTTGCTAATTAATAACCTCATGTGGAACTCTGAATCTGCATCTCATTTCAGAGTCTGCTACTGTGCATCAGAGGT